TTAGGAAGTGGAACTTTTGGAAAATCTCACAAAAATCCCCTTCAAGAATCTTAAAACTTAAGAAATAGAATACTTATCAGGACAGCAGGGGGGTGGAGGTGGGGAGAGCTACCTGGAAACGATCTCCCAGAGATGAGAGATTCAATGGACACATGGACACTTAGGGAAAAGTGTGATGGCCGATTGATTCCCCACCAGTATAAGATCCTGCTTAATCTTTCTACAGCCTGAATCAAAACAAAATTGTTCAGAAGTTATAAATCAATGGTTTCTCTGCTTTGGAAAAAGGTACGGCACAAATAAAGTTCAGTTTACTGGTAAAGATTTCAGGCACTCCAAAGAAAAGCTAATTTTACTCACTCACGAGCTTATTTACAGTTAGGGAGGGCCAGAAACTACATACAGAAAGATGATTCAAAAGAAAATTTCACAATTAAAAGTTAATTGCGCTGCTACCCTATGACTCAGCAATTCCGTTCCGAGGTATGTACCCAAGAGAAATAAAAGCACACATGCAGAAGAATTCACACACCGAGCTCCATAGAAGCCTGTTCTCAATAGTCACCAGGTGGAAACAACCTAAATGTCCAACAACTGGATGAGCAAAAAAATAAAACACGGTACATTCACACAGTAGAGTCCTATTTGGCAAGAAAAAGGAATTAAGTACTGATGAAGGCTAAGAATGGATGACCTTTGAGGCGATGGTACTAAGTCGAAGAAGGCAGTCCAAACAGAGCACAGACTGCACAGTCCAGTCATGTGACAAGTCCAGAATCCCACGTCAATGAAAAGTCAGTCGAAGGAGAGAGACAGACCATAGAGTAGTGATTGACTGCCTTTGGCAGGGGGAAGGAGAGATGGGGAGGGGCTGCTTGCTGGGTCTTGAGATTCTTTCTGGGGTGATGACAATGTCCCAAATAGACTGTAGTTTAGTTGCACATTGTGAACCCACTAAGACCATTCATCTGCCTTCGTGAAAGATAGGGGGATTCTCTTTCATGTGAAGTCCACCTTAATAGACATTTTTCAAAGTTGAGTGTACATACTTTACTTTTTAAAGAACAAGTTAGACTTTCAGATTTAAGTAAAATTACGCAGAACTCAACTGGATTAGGTTCCTGCCATCCTACGACACGTGGTTTGCGTAGGTATCTAGAGGGGGGGGAAATCCAATGGCAGGGCAAAAATATGGGGAGGGAAATAGTTAATGCTTTCTTGACACATGAGACACACATGAAAACCCACTGTCATCGAGTCAGTGCTGACTCGTAGTGACCCCCCTGTGGGATTCCAAGACAGTCATTGTTTATGGGAGTAGAAAGCCCAGTCTATCTCCCCAGGAGCTGCAGGTGGTTTTGAACTTTTGACTGTGCGGATCACAGCCCAATGCCTAACCACTATACCACTAGTGCTCCCGGGGAACTATAGGAGGGGGCTTCAAAACATTCATTGAAAAATGGAATGAAATTAGAATGGAAAATTCCCACAAATGTTCGGAAGCCTCCTCAGCCAACCAACCTCCTCAGCCTCTCAAGTCTCTGCAGAAGTTCTTAGTCTCAGTCCATGCCGGGCTCGAGCCTGTATAGCTCTGTGGTTCTAAAGGCGGGCGCCTCACTCCTCCGGTCCTACCACCAGAATGTTCCCGAAGAAGGCTGTTCCCCTAGATTTCAGACCACCTCCCGCTACTGAAAGCACAAGATCTCGACCAAAAAATTCAAAGCAGAAAATATTTCCACCATAAAGGAATAAGGAAGACTTAAGCAGGCTTTGAGAAATGAACAGATTCAACAACAACCGCCGTCCCTAGAAATTAAAGATGGGCTCGCCATGCCAAATCTAGAGCCCAGAAATTTACGCATAATTTCCCCTGAAATCAGCAGCCCAGAACATATAATAACCGCTTCATGAAACTATGAAATACGTACATGTCTGCAGACACACAGCTGCTCTCAAACAAAGCAAAGCAATTCCACCCAACAGACCAGTTCCATCATTTTGCCCCAGAGGAAGAAATATTCAGGATGCAATTTCCAGTGATGAGATGTCAGTGCTAATGTTCATCTAAGGAGCCTTGGTGGCACCGTGATGAAGCGCTTGACCGCTAACTGAAACGTTAGCAGTTCAAACCCACCATCTGCTCTGTGGGAGAAAAATTCTGACAATCTGCTCGCATCAAGATGAACCTATTGTCATGGAGTCTGTCCCAACACAGCAACCCTCTAGGAGGCACAGGAATGGCCCGGGAGAGGATCCAGGGTTGTAACGGTCACCAAAAGAGACTTCCTCGCTCAGAATGGCTGATGGGTTCAAACCACTAACCTTTCAAGTAGCAATCAAGTGCTTACCCACTGCTCCACCAGGGCTCCTGCCTGGAAAGATTGTACTCTAGGACACCTATGTGAGCCCTTGTCCTTGGTCTTATTCAGCCCGAGTCAGAATAAGACAACATCACCGTCCGACCCCTTGCCAGTCTCGCCATCAGTGCTGTTTGGCCCATTGTTGCAGCCACCAGGTCACTTGTGAAGGGCCTTCCTCTTTGTCATTGATCCACTCCCTTCCCAAGCACGGTGTCTTTCTCCAGGGATTGGTCCTGCCTGCCAACATGTCTCAATCTCACCATACTTGCTTCTCAGGAGCATTCTCCCTCTACTTTTCCAAGACACAATTGTTCCTCTCCTGTCCGATCAGAGAGTAGTCTGCGTTCTTTGCCACCACCACCACCACCATTCAAATGTTTCCAGGCTCCTTTGGTCTGCTTCGTTCTTCAGCGCTCACAGGAAGCGACCAAAACCACCATGGTTCCGTGAAGTGGCCCTTCACTCGCCACAGAAGAGGGTTGCTCTGCCACAGAAGAGCATTGCTCTTTAACCCTTGAACGAGGTCCTGTGGGCAGTAGAATTCCCCGGTGCGGTGCATCGTCTGATTCTCCACTGCGGCTGACTGCAGAGCCAAGTGAAATGAAATCCTTGACAGCTGCCATCTCTCCTCTATTTATCATGATGCCGTCTTTATTCCTTAGGTTGATAAAGGCCTTAGGCTCTACTCCTCGTCAGTAAGTCGTTTCACAGCCACCATGTTGATGGCAGCTGTCTATCATAGGATATGCATGTGCCTTCCTCCAATCCAGATGCCACCTTCTTCCTTTACCTCAGTTTCGCAGATGATTTGTTCAGCATACAAATGGAGTAAGTAGGACGAAGGATGTGCTCTGCCTCAAACTATACCGCAAGAGCTCTAATGACCTCCAGTGGTTAGAACTAAAATTGCTTGGCACAGGACACGTAAGACTGTAACCAAGTGCACCACAAAACAATGCTTACTTCCTTATTTCGTAAACTGCCTGTTTCAGTAAAAGGCAGCATGGCTAATGCCTGCCATAAATAGCCCACCCCTCTCATTTTTAAGCGGTCGCCTAAGTGCCTGTTTTCCTGTGGTTTGTCTCAGCAGCATCTTTCAACCCAGCCAAGGAGGTGTCTGTCTCTGCATCCGCGCAAACTCAGTTTCCAATCCAGTACACACCCCCCCGTTGTAAATGGGCAAAGGAAGGTGTGAGTAGGCAGAAATGACAGAAATGGCTGGCCAAAAGAGACAAACATTGAAAACGAAAATTACCCAAGTTGGTCATGTACAACTCATAAATGCTATTCGATAGCCACCCAGGATGCTGAAAGTAACCTTAACCCCTTCCCCAACCTCACTACTGGGTTATAATGAAAGCAACTAACAATGAACTATCCCATATCTAGAGTTGCATTAAGCAAACATTACTAAATAAGTCCAAACCATCCCACGCAAACTTCCCCTTAGGCTGAAACAAGCCTAAGCTCTCTGTCCTTTGAGTCAATGTTTCATTCCATTCAGCATGGTCCAGAAACAGAATTCGTTTACACTTGTTGTTAGACTCAGGCTACCAGAAGCCCCCCAGTCTAGCACAAGTTTACTTTTGGGGGGGCATGAAGCTTATATAGCAGCCTTACAAGCACCTCCTGTGGGCTTGGCTTGGCCCTTCTATGAAGTCAAGGCATGCTGTAGAACTCTAGAAGATTTTGGCTAACCCACCAATATTGAATACCTTTTTGATTTTACCTAAGGTAGTCTATTTCTAACATGCATCCAGTTGTCAGGCCCCTAACTGCTAGGGTAATAACGAATTTCCTATGTTATGAGCAATGGACTCAAACATAAGAACAAATTGTGGGGATGGCACAGGACCAAGCCATGTTTCTTTGTGCTCCACATAGATGTGGTTGCCATCAGGACCAGCTCAACTGCACCTAACAACAACAACAACAACAACAACGAGTAAGGCATCTACCTGGTGATCATGAAGAGCCCTCCAACACTGTGCTAGCTGTCACTGGCTGGTGAAGTGTGCATTCCTGACAGAACAGTAGCTTCCCCTTGGTATAATGCGAATGAACAAATCCTCACACAACACTGTCTGGGATGCAGCCTGCTAACATGCATGACAGGCATAACCACAGGAGGCAACAGGAAGGTTTAGAGCAAGACCCCCATCTGCAATCATGGACTGCTATTACACAAGTCTGCTCCTATTCCTAGATGTTGTGATTGGCATCACTTCTCATGTATTTTCAGACTTACCCATCCATTTAACAAATATTTATGGATCGCCGACAGTTTACCAGACATCTATTTGGGGTTTATTATATATTGTCGGACAGTTTCCAGGAGAATTGAGTACACTAAGAGACTGTTAAAATGCACTGACTAAAACAATTTACAATTTTTTGCCAAACCTATAGTCTTTTTGTGGCATAAAGGGGTTAAAATTCCCCAGGCTATTCCATCCTCAAAAAGGAAATACAGGCACCAGGTGAGTTTGTTTCTAAACTTTCAAAAGTCAATTAATTGCTAAGTTTCCCTAGTTAGGGGGGGACTCATGAGGGGGGGTGTCTTTAAATGTTATATAAGCATTTTACCATATTTTATTTCCTTTCAGAACAGTGGCAATCATATTGCTAGGCTATTTTTACCTTAATTGTGACTTCGTACAGCGTGAAAAAACCGTGCGTAAGAATTCTTGGCGTTGCTTGTTGGTCCAGAGGTCAAACCAATGGCTTACAAGGGCCACTCTTTCCTGAAAGAGCTGTAAGAAGAAAAACAAGATTGCACTTCATGGTACGGTGTCTTCTTAGTTGCTAAGCAATCCTGATCTCACAGCAAATATTTGTACAGCACACTACGTTTACAAAGCACTTCCACCTGTGTCATGGGGGTCTCCTGCTTCGTCTTGGTCTGGTTTTATGCTGACATCCAGACATGCCTGAGCTAGCTGAGTGGGCTGGTGGGAACAGTGGGTGAGGGGTCATGAGAGGGCCTCTCTGGAAGACAAAGAGGTGAAGAGTGCTGGCTTTTGTTTCCACCTGCTGTCAGGAGAGACCAGTCGCTGGAGAAAGACATCATGCTTGGTAGAGAAGAGGCCAAAGACCGATGAAGATCCTCAAGGAAATGGTTTGACCTTGGGGTTGCAACCATGAGCCCAAGTCTAAGGACACTTGGGGGAGTGGCACAGGACCAGGCAGTGTTTCATTTCGCTGTACAAAGGATTACTACGGAGACCCGAACAACAACACTTGGTCTGGAGAAGGGTATATTGCATACATTTCATCTTGTCTGCATGGGTTTCATGTGAAAAGAAGACCCTTCTAGGTAGGTGTATTTTATTAACCCCTGGCCCTGAGTCTTCACTACAACATACTTAACTGAGTTCATCAATATTGCTACGTAGACATTGTTAGTGTCTATGTCTCAGGAAAGACATGGACCAAGGGCCAGCATCTGTTCGAACCTGGTTTCAACCTAGCTTTACTCAGATGAACAAAGCCAAGTTCACAGCACTTGGTACTAGGTCAGGCTTTAGTCCTGCTCTGGCTTGTCTCCTTCCCCGTGAATGGAGTACTCGGGAATCAACTGGCCTTCCCGTGGTGGCCCTAACTACTCTACGCCATTCAATGACCTGCTCCTGTCTTACCTTTCAAAGGAAGAGGGAGGGGCCACAGGGGACCTATGTCCCCCAACAGATAGTCAGCATACAAGTGGTGTAAAAGAGAAAAGAGATCAAAGAAGCGCACCGAGGAACAGATTTTAACATCCCGCCAGCCATCCCACTACCAAAAGCACCGTCTCTGTTTCTCCTCCCGTGACAGCAGCTCCGTGGGTGTCCCAGAGGGCTCCAGTTGACCCTCAGGATACAGAGTAAAAGGAGAAGAAGCCCAGCTTCAGGCTCTTATACAGTAGAAGGTGGGGACTGGACTGAGAGGGGACGGTCTTCGAAGCAGACAAACCTAAGTTTGCTTTTTGTTTAAAAAAAAGAGACTAAAACCAGTAGCCCTTTATAGACCTTTTTTTAAACTATGGTAATATGCCATTCTCTATAGTAAAGTAACATGAAATTTCTCTTACTCTAGAGCATGTAACTTACCTGTCGATTTAATGGTTTGTTGTTAAAAGGTGTCCAGGCACTGAATCGTGTGTGGAAGCTCTCTATTTCCAGAGTTTTCCTGGGAGACTCCCCAGCGGACATCTTGGCAGTTGCTTTTCTTTGAGTCTTTGTAAAGATAAGCGCATTTCAATAGATATTTGAGATCATCTGAAAACAGCCACTAGACTAGTGTTTGCCATGTAGAGACTACATGTATTTATCTTTAGATTTCTAAGAATGACATCAATCTGTTTTATTTGTTTGTTTGTCTGAAACTAGTTTGAGTCCATTTTAATTCTAACTTTCCCCCTTAGACCAGTGTTCAGGTCGGCTGGGTAAGGTTCTGGAGGGTTTTATAGCTGGGATCCCTCTCTTTTTTCTCATAAATTTTTTAACTTATTCCTTTCCCCTGTTCATGGAATACCACACGTACAAGGAAAACGGAAGCATCTCACAACCCATGTCATCAAAATGATGCCAGTATCCCATCAACCCCTGCAATGTGGCTCCTCCTCCTCCTCCTCCTCCTGCCTTCCTCAAGCACTTGTCTGTGAGCCAAAAGGTGAGCGATTCAAACCCACCAGTCACCCTGTGAAAATACAAGGAATTCTTCTGCTGTAAATGTCGCAGCCAGGAAACCCTCTGGGACGGTTTTACTCTGTCGTGTGGGGTCACTATGTGTCGGATTCCACACAATGGCGGACCACCACCACATCTATCGTTTTGTTGAAGATACTCCATAGGGGAAGACCATGAATGACAAACATTGCAATGATTTCCCAACCTCTCCTTGCATCCAAGTCTGAATCTACACCAAGGATGTTTTTCCTTTGCTAGAGAAATGGAAGGCAGGAAAGAAATATTTCCAGAGGTGCTCTTAATGAATATGGAATTTGTATTCATTTTTATCATCCAGGAAAACTGACACGTATTCTCCAAAAAAGTAGGTGTGATAATTAAGGTTGCGTCATCTTGGCTGGGCCATGATTCCCAGTGGTCTGACATTTAGGATGTAGTAACTCCCTACCCCCACCCAAAGAGATCTAATATAATGTAATATAATTGCTTCCATGATGAGCTCTACTATTATCAGCCAATCATTTGAAAGGAATTCCCTTCAGAGGTGTGACCTGCTTCCAATATATGTGGACATTGTAGAAAAACATGCTTGTTTTTTGCTGGGTCTGAGTCCTGCCTCTAATTTACCATCTAATCTCCAGTTCTTTGACCATGAGCCAGCAGCCTGATATATTGCCTGCCAGTCCCAAGAGTCATCACTGGCCCTCCATCTGACCTGCCAACCTTGGATTCACCTTTGCAGCTAGAAGCCTGCCATCTGATCTGCCAGTCTTGGGCTCATCAGCCCCTGAAGCCCAGGGAGTCAGGAGACGTCTCCTGCCTGTACCACAGTGTGTGCCTTTTCCTTGCTATGCGACTCTCTGGAGATACACCCTTCACTGGGTTTGCATCTCTAGAAAACACAGCCCAAGACAGCAAGAACCTAGAGTGCTGACTATCTGTGGGGGACATAGGTCAGAGGATTTGGGGAAAATAAGGAGGCTAATGGATTAGTTATTTTGAGAGTTCCTGAGTGGGACAAAGACTTTTCATATAGAGATCATCAATGACACACGGTTGGACAATCCCTAAAAGACAAAACAAAGACGGATGGGTGCGACCAGAGTTGGAGTTTGGCTCGTGTCAGTGGAAAAACGCCTCAGACCAGCAGCTGGAGCTTTCCGGAGGTCACGGTCATTACATGAGGTTCTGACTGTCCCACTTAACTAGAGCCCATTAGTTTGAAAGCAACCCCGTGAGGCCCATTATATTTAAAATCCAAGCTATCAAGAAGGGGGGGCTTCAGAAAAATCCTAGTTTTTTTCAATTCCATTTGTTCCATAAACATGCTGAAGCCCCATCGTGGAGTGGTTCACAGTACCAAACAGACACTACCTGCAACGTGTGTCAAAACATTATTGCCATTCCTGTGTTATTAGGTTAAAGGTGTACTCAGTGTGTCTGGAAGTGCTGCTCTAACTTTCTGTGCACAGAGGTACACTCCCTACTATATTCTAAGGCAAATTTTGGACATGCTGACAACAGATACGCACCATACCAACCTGTTTCTACTTACAAGCTAGATGTGAGGACAGACTTGGGTGCAGAGCTCACTCACACCCCGGGGCCTGCTTTTACTAAGGGCAGCGAAACACAAGTTGGTCAGTCAGGGATGTTCTAGCTGGGATCCACGCATCCCAAACTTCCAAGGTTTTTTCCAACCCTGTGTTGCTCTAAATTCCAAGAACATAGAGAATCATGTGGACTTAGTAGCTGAGGAAAACTTTATTGGAAAGTGAAAATAATTTGAGACTATCACAAATATTCCTAGTGCCTTGACTCTTCTTGTGGAGCCCTGCTGGAGTAGTGGTTACTTGTGTGACTGCGATCCACTGGGCCAGCAGTTCAAAACCACCAGTCACTCCTTAGGAGAAAGACAGGGCTTTCTACTCCTACAAATAGTTACAGTCTTGGAATTCACAGGGCCGGTTCTACCCTGTCCTGTAAGGTGGCTGTGAGGGACATGGATGTCACTGACTGCTAAGCAGTCTGATTACACTCCATGAAACAGAATCACATTTTAAAAATAATAGTTTGTGTGTGGCTTGGCTCACACAACAAAATGGGTTCCTATTTAGCAATTTTCATACAAGTAACCCCATGACATTAATGAGAATTTCTCAACATGTCAGCACTCTATTTTCCTTCTGCTTGTTCTGTTTCCATTGATCTAGCTTCCTGCCCCCTCCATGATTTTCATCTATGCTCCTTTGGTAAATGTTGGCTCTTTGGACTCATATAATTTATAGATCAAGGGATCATAATCCTCATGAGTAAAATTGTTTATTTTATATCCATTTGGCAAGAGGAAACTCCAAGGAATGACTTCATTTCCAATTAGGGGTATCTCAGGGGGATTGCTCCAGGGATTTGTCTAGTCTCTATCAGTTCTGCTGAGTTTTACTGCCTTGCTCCCCCCACCCACCCAATCCCTGCCATCCGCAACCCCAGAATTTGATTTTTGTTTTACACCTTTCTCCCATTTCATTAGAGATGTGTATTTTTAGATGAATATGCTAGAAAGATATGTATTATATTAAAAATATTTTCAGAAATACAATAGAAAGGCAGCACTGCAGATATCAGACAGACCTTCAAATTAGTACTGCCTGGTTCAGTCACAGCTGGAGAAACAAAATCACAACATACCAGAATTTTTAAAATGTCAGTGAACCAGAATGCTAACTGGAATGGGGAAAAATGACAGGTCAATGCCCTCCTAGGAAGTTGGTCTTCCTCTCAGAAAATAAGGGCAGTGCGTGCATTTCATAACAACCAAATCTCTTTACTGGCTGTGCCAACAACAGCGGTGCCCAACAAAGAGTGGGGCGGACTACACAGTTTTGAACACACATCACTCTACACACCCTGGGCATTCATTTAGTGCCAGGCATCAGGCCCCTGTGAGAGTTCGCTACTCTCTCCAAGTCTGCTGTCCCAGGGTCTTGACCTGGAACATTTCCTATTCCAATTAGTGTTCAGGATAGTCCAAATCCTTAAAAATCTGAGTCTGCTCTGATTTCATTTTGTTGGCCATGATAGAACTCTTTGGAACCCATTCAAGGCCCTGTTGTCAGATGTGAATGTCTATCCTGTGCCTCCAGAATTGAAACTTGACCAGCAATTTAATATCCAAACCTCAGTTTCTTCAGTTATAAAGCAAGCCAATGATGTGTCTTGGCAAAGTGCTGTATAATAATGTGTTGATCAGATAAAAACTTCATGGCAATGTGGGAAATTAAGTGTCTCCTTCTGAATCAACACTAAATCAAAACAAATCCTTCATTTCATAAATGCCCAGCTGCTGTTATATAAAACCTCTCCAAGAATCAACATAAGGGATTTTTATTTAGCAAGTTTCCAAGATTGTTATTATCCTCTGTGTTAAGAGATTACTGAGCTACATAATTGGCTGAGCATTACAGAAAGAATAGTTGTATCTCTGCTGGTGGGCTTAAGTATGTGACCACAGCAGATCATATATCTATATAATTTTCACAAGATCAGTTCCATTATCTAAAATGTCAATGTATCTGATTAGTTTATTCAGTTCAGGGACCAGTGTCATGTTGATAATCACTGCTTTAGAGAGAATGATTTCTTTTCTTATTCCAAATAGTAGTCCTATAAAATATCCACTGCCTACCTGTCAGTTATTTTTAAACTATGATAGATTGCATGTTGTCATGATGGCACTAGTAATTTACATAACTGGAGGGTCAACCACAGTGAACGCATCTCAGCTGAGCTTTCAGGCTGAAAGAAAATAAGGGGAGAGGCCTGGTTGTCTACATGTGACAGTTAGCCAATGAAACTGTTGTGGGTGCAAAAGAATACTGTCTGGCTCATTGGCTTCAGAGGTGGTGATGTAAAGGACCAGCAGGCACGATGCAATAGAATGTCACAAAAGCCTTGACCATGAGCTTGAACGGCGTGAGGATGGGAAGATGCAGGATGAGGTAAGGTTTCACTGTGTTGTACAACGAGGTCGCCCTGAATGAGAATCAACTCCACGGCTGCTATCTAACTGAAATTGGTGGACCCCCAGAAAAATCCAGATCAGTTGTTGAAGATGCCTTGGAAATGACTGATCAAAGAGGTTCCTGTGTTCCTGGACACTCCAGAACATCGATGTGCTAATGTTACCACAGGATCTCTATGACGGGGAAGTACATATGAAGGGTTTCCCTTGATCATTGTTGTGTGGAGGTTACCGCTGTGTGTATTCTTCATCAACTGACACAGAACTGGTCCCTTAAAGACTCAAGGGTGTAAAACAATCCACATTTATGTTCCCCAAAGATTCTATGAGCCAGGCATCTAGGGGAGACCAATCCAGCGCCATAGTTTTCTAGAGCTGCCGTAACAAAAACGTGACAAACTGGGTGACTTTGAAGACAGACATTTATTGTCCCTTAATTTCAGAGGCAGGAAATTCAGATTGGAACATTGGTGCCAGAGAACAACCCTTCCTAAATTGTAGG